TGGTGGTGTTCACTTGAATTCAATTATAGCTTTTTCCCAGACCTCTCTACCATTGCTGGCTAAGAATTTTATTAGCAAAAATTGGCTTTATATCCAGCTCCTCTTTTGCCCCTTTCTTAGACTCTTGTCCCTGTAGAGGCTGGGAAGGAGAATTTTTAGGACCTGCATGGAACAAAGTGCAATTTCTCCTTGTGGGTGTCAGTGGGAGCTGCAGTCATGAGAGAGAAAGCTCATACAAATAATGCTGTGCTAGTTTATTTTTGTGTTACTCTCCCAATTTTTATTCAGAGACTGAGTCACCACTTGAACAGAGTAGAGCCTTGATTTTTCTTTTCCTTAAATCAAGCTTTTCTCTGGTAGACTAATGCTCTCTACTACCATGCTGCAATAATTAATCTACATAGTGATGTATCATCAATGGGGTTTTGGTCTGGATTTGGTTTTGGGGTTTTTTTTCTGTTTAATTTTAATAAAGAGAAGCAGCAGCCTCACACACTGCTGTCACCATGTTGGCAGGATGGCCATGTCTGAGGTGCTATCAGGGAGGTTACAGGGCATTCATCAAAATCAAGCTGATGCAAGCATGAATACTCCCCAGAATGAGACCTTTATACTGAAAAAATGCTGAAGGCTGAAAAGGGGCTAATTTATTTAAATTATCTGTATACATGTCAAGCCCCATGGTTTCCAGAGGAAGCTGACAATCGTAAAAGAGAGCTTTTCTTAAATTTAACAACAAAAACCTAAAAGGGGAAGTTACACCAAGAAAGCCTGAGCAACTGAGCTGATAATCATCTGTAGTGATGCAGATGTACAAAAATACAGCTTTCTGCTATTAAGCTTTTAAATGTCAGTAAATGGCAGTTTAGTAGATCATTTGCTAATAATGATTACATTTCTCATTAAAATGTTTCCTTCATTATTCTTCAGGTAGAAATGTGTAATTCAACGATTGTTACATCAATTATACTTAAAAAGCTCATTTAAATACTGAAATATTATCTCTCATAGCCAGAGTACTTTAAGAGTACTGTACTAATTACAAACGGAATAAACTCTTGTAATATCACTGTTTGAATTGATGCCTTATAAATTCTTAATGCAAAGCTAACATATAAAGTGTAAATCAAATATATAGATCCAATAAAACAAAACCTTTTTAATCTTGTTTTACCTTCAAAAGGATTCTGATTATTGTAATTAAATAATGCATGATATAATAAAGATCTAGAATGTGTGATTATTTCATTGGCAATTGAATATTGGTGCTTTTTATTTATGCAAGCAATTTATCACAGACAATATGCATCAAGCATTAAAATATTGATACAATTATACCTATCCTGCTGAACCAATAAAAAACCCCTGTGACATGGCTCTCTGCTGATGATACAAAGATGGTTTGAAATCCTGGTTAAATTTTAATATTCTGATGTGCTGGGTTATGCTAATTCTGCTATGGAATAATATTTCCTGTTTTGCCTTTTCTTTCTGCGGGGTTACAAATGCAGCTTCACTTGGCATGGCAAGCTCTGCTTGTGGCTCTGCTCTTCACTCCTAGGAAGGGACAGCAAAAAGCAGTTTTGAATTTCACTTTCCAGAGTTATTCTTGTGCTGTGAATACAACTCTACAATACTGATTTTGCTGCTGCCACCATATCTTTTGGTTCTTAATCAAGTTGAGCGAAGGCTTGTGGCCCAAGTCAGGGGTGACTCGCTGCAGGTGGCTGGGTTAGTAAGGCTGCTTCCAAAGCAGATGCAGTCGCAGTTTGATCCCAGTTTCTTAAGGCTGGCAGCGTGGTGTCGAGGTAAAATATAAAAGGAGCAATCAGTTCCTTTTGGTCAGAGCAACCTCTGTTCTGAGTCAGCCTTCTCAAGGCATCCAGCCAGGTCAGATGTAAATTGTAAAATTGGGCAGAATTTCCAAATCTTTAAACTTATAAACCCGGTTACTTTCTAACACCACTAATAGGCTGTACTTAATAGACTGGTGATGATTTTGCCACTTTGCCATGCAGTAAGCTGATGTGCAGGGGACTACTTGGGGCTCTGTGAGCTTGTCCCTTGTGGCTCAGTTGAAAGCAAATGTGTTTGACAGCCCACAAATAGCATGGGGTGCCCACCTCCACCTGCTATTTCAGCCGCACCAATGGTCATGGGAGGATCTGTATTTCCCTGAACAGAGCAGCTCTGCAGAAATTTGTACAAGATTAACCTATCCCACCACTCCTGGACTCAAATTAATTTTTGGAGTGGTGTCTTGAATACATGACACATTTTACAGCAAAAAGAAAATCAGGTGGCCTATACCAAATGCTTGTCTGTCCTGGCTTTCCAAAATGGCCTTTGAATATCACTGGTGAGGAAAAAGAATTGGAAACCTCTGAATAAACAGCGATAAAGGTCAAAATCCACCACCAAAATATAAGGATTGAATAACTCTGGGTGGAAGTCAGCCCTTTGCTGAGGGTCAGCTTTGAAAATGCTCAGGATTTTTAGACACCTAATAGTGACTCTCACTTGATAAAATTATAAAAGCATAATTTACGTGTCTGATTCACCAAATTGATGAGCACAACCTACAAAGTGTCAAACACTCATCTCTCTTTGTGCTTGCTGAAGGAAGAGAGCATTTAGTGACTTGCAGGATGAGAAGTTTTCCATAACTCACCATGAACTTCAGTACAGATCTTATACTATTGGATGAGAGAATTTTTCTTTTCTTTTTGCTAGATGTGCTTGTTTTTCCTCAGTCAGACACTGCCTGATCATCACAAATGTCTCCACTCTGTTGTATTTGTGAGCTCCTGTGTAGCTCAAATTAAAATCAAGCTCTCAGAATAAACAGTCCAGTGACCAAAGGCTGGTATTTGAAGGCATCTACTGAGTTGAGACAAATATAACTAAAAATGGGTTATGGGGAAAGCTTTAGCACTGTTTAAGATGTAAAATTGAAAGCTTTCATTGAACAAATAATGGAGGGGGGTTGGAAAGAGCTAGTTAATTAAGTAGTTGGCCTGCTAATTGATTTTTTTTTTTAAAAAATGCAGCAATTTGCAGGCATATGCTGGTGTTGGCTGTGTGCTCCTCTCTGCCTTGCCCCCAGCCCACAGGCAGGGACTGTGCAGGGATCACATAATCACAGTGCTGTCACAGGTCTGACAGAGCCTGAGCACCCACTGCTTCTACCCACTTGCAATTTGCCAGCACTTTAAAGCCATTACCACATGTGCATATTTGCCTTGTGTATGGACACTCCTAGGAACAAAAAAAGTCCCGAGGAAAAAAGCATCCTAATTTTCCTGTGTTGGCAGATCAGAGTATTTTCATCCCAAGGTTCATAAACAGGCCTTGTTTGAAATTCTTTGGCTTGGTGGTCTGAGTTGTCTCTAGCTAAGATGTAGCTTGGAATCATTTGTTTCAAAGAAATAAAAATTCTTGGGGCTTATTAGCCCAGAAAAATATATTAATGGTTTACCTGCTCCAGTAGCAGCCTGCACTGCAAATGTGCCCCTTAGAATATAGATACTTTTTCTCTATAAAAGTAGCTGATTTAGTCAGAAAGGTGACAGTTAAGGCTCGTTGCAGGGGAAATTTTTGCATCTTTGCAGAGTGACTTTTTTTTTTTGCTGTACTTTACCACAGTGGCTGTCCATCACAGTTGTTATGTATGCAGGCTGAGTGAGCCCGCGGGGGATCCTAGTTATTTACACTCTTTTTCAAGCTTCGAAGCTGTTATAATCATTCGCTGTCAACTTTGTGCTGACACTGAATTTTACTTTGTGTTTTTTATGCTTGGTTTGGGTCTAAAATACTGGCATCCATACCCTACACTGTAATTCTATGGGTGACTGAGTTGACCAGCAATATACAGTATTACTAACAGAGCTTTAGAAACCTGCTGCATATGGAGATTTCAGGATTTGTTGATTGTGGACAGTAAACAAAGTCCCCAGGCTTTATGCTTTTATCCTAGTGGTGGCCCTCAGGAATAAACTGTGTACGGCGTTTCATCTCATTGCATTTTCATCTTTACAAAAATGTAAATATTATTTTCCTTTCCTCCAAAGCTGCAAAGTTAGAGCAGGAAAACTTTTTCATTGCATTTTTTATTTTCGTGCTGGCTTGTTTTCTCCAGGCCTGTGCTGTAAGAAATGCATATTTCCCTGTGATCACCATATGTTTAGCATGAGGCTGCAGAGAGGAGTGGAGCCAGTAATGGGCTAATACCTCAGCTCCAAATTGAAATAATGCCTTGTGTGAAACGTGGGGAATAAATTATCAGCCAAGAGCATGCATTGACAAATATATAGGGGTTTTTACACCCTTTTTAGGTTTAGGAAGGCAAATTTGCATGGCTGTGCTTTAGTGTCTGTGGTCTGCAGTACAGTGAGTGAACAAACTTTGTTACCAAACCCTCTCTTGGTGAGCAGCCCCTGAGCCTTCGATGGCATCACAGACTGATTGCTGCATGTTGGAAGTGTGGGATTTCCATGTCCAGGTTCCCAGGTCCCGTGTGAAACTCCAGGCGCTCGGGGGCCCAAAGCGGGTGATCACACAAAATGATCCAACCTGTTCTTAACTGGACTTGAAATAAAACTGGTCAAGGAGCTTGTGTGCTTGGTCAATGTAATAAAGTAGACAAATAATTACTGAGCAAATCAAACACACTTACACTTCAGATGATTTTGAAATATTATCTATAATCGGGCACTTCTGTGCTAGGAGGAAAGGTTAATAAAGTAATTTAAAAAAGATTGTGTAGAGTATTACAGAAACAGAAGAGGACTGGTGATCATAATTGTTAATCTCCTGAAACACCAGTCCTCTACTGCACGAGGCATATATTTTAGTACAACTCCTTATTGTTCATTCCACTTACTATGATATTATACTGCTTAATTACCTTTTGTAAGAAATCTTATTTTAACTTCTTTTTTTTTTTCCTTTAATAACAGATAATGCTGATGGAAATATTTTAGAAGTAAATCTTATTTAAAGTCCTACCTGCTACGATTGAGATTAAAACAGTTGCAGTCGGTGGGTAGGTAGATATTTGGAGACTGAATGGCTGCAGAAGCTGTGTTGTGAAATACCACAGTGAAGTTGGTAAATGTATCCTCCAGCACCCTGTTTTATCCATGCTGTGTGTGGATGAAGCCTGGCAAGGAATATAAGGAAGTCTGAGGTTTTGGGTTTTGATGTTGTGATTATTTCCTCTGAACCACATTTCTAGTTCATGGCTTTCAGATAAAACAGCATCCCTGAGTTAGGGCAGCCTGGCTCCTGGGTGCGGTAGCAGGATAAGTAAGAAGAAAGTGATATCCATAATAATGGATATGATGGGAAATATCTATAACAGCAAACTTAATGTGCATTTATTATGGTTTGGATTGAAGAAAGTCTCCTTCAGGCACACAGGACGTTGTGAGAGAGCACACACCTGTGTTCCATCTCCAGGGAGTATAATCCTGAGGATATCTCAACAAATCATTTCCTCTAATGTATAATTTGAACTGGTAGGAACTAATGGTGAATAAGAATATGGTTGTTCCTTGCATCCTTTTAAAAAAACTTCACCTGAATAGTTTGACTCTGGTTGAGGCAGATTGTTTTTGTCACTTGTGGCACAAACATTTGAGTTTGTTGTTGGGTTTTGTCACCTGCACAATTCTATGTTAAGATTGGAATTTTCCTGTAACCTTCTGTAGGTATGAGATAGGCAGGGAAGAAAACTGGATAACATCTATAGGGGCTTTACATAATTAGGCCAGAGCACACAACGATGTGACTTTCTTTTTTTGCAAACAAGGATCCAGAATCTCACACTGTGAATATCTGAGGTACAATAGACCAAGCAGGTTGGGAAAGTAATACAGTCATAGTAATTACCTTCATCTAGCAAAAATATTTCAGTCAGCAATGACGAGCAATAAAGCAAAATGATCACCCACCTTTAGAATATCTATTACAAAAACAAATTTCTAAAATAAGAAAAGCTTTAAATATCCACTCAAACATAAAGTATATGGCTTTCCTACTTCCATGGGTTGTGGGGCTGTCAAAAAAACTGACTTGCAATGCAAGGCCTGGTTCCAGGCCAGGGGGAAAAATTACTGCAATTAAGCATCTATAAATGAAGAGAATAATATCCATCATGCTGCTCTAAAAAAATTTTTTTTCTTTTTTGGGGGGTTTTATACAAATCACTTATATCCTCCTTAAAACAGATTTTTTTTTTTTAATATAAATATAGTGAATGCGAAACACCATTAATCCAGTAGTAATATCATCTGATAGTAGTTAATCCCTTCTTAGGAATGGCTTTGCCCGGTCCTTTGGAATATAGAAATGTGCTTTCACTGTTAGGCATTTTGTTTAAGCATCAATCAGTTCTTAATGCCTAATTGTCTTTTTTTTTTTCCCTTCCTTGCCTATAAAAGACCACCAAGTAAAATGAATCCTGTCTTCAAAAGTATTTCCTTGGGAGTCTCATTACATTGTTTAGCCGGTGATTTTGTATTCCGAGGTTATGGATCAAGGGCAGTGCCATGCCTGTGGTTTGGACTTGGCTCTGTGCTGTGACAGGATGATGCAGATGTACCAGAAGATCCTAATCTGTCAGAGGAAGTCTATTAAGTTCAAGCCCCTAAGCTGTCTCAGCCAAATCAGAGATACCAAACTTACATTTGTTTTTGTGGTGACCATTCATTTTGGTCAAATGAAGAAATTGCTAGTGTGGGTTTTGTGGCTTCAGGGGTGAAATCTATGAATGTCACGGATCTTTTAGCCTCTCTGCTCTCTCTGAAACATTATTGAGGATGCTCTTGTATGGAAGGAAAAAAAAAACAACCAAGCATTTTTATTGCAGCTGTTTATAAGTCACCTTGATCAGAAAAAGTTGGGGAAAAGAAGCATTAGCTTCTATAGAAATAATTCTTTTTGTGAATAATAGATAAGGATGAGAAAAAAGAGAGGCTGTCTGCAGAAAGAAAAAGCAGTTTTGAAATGCATGTGGAAGGACTCATGTTTTGGAATGGAGTGAGTTTTAGCCCTGCTGCAGGCTGTGGAATTTGGCCCTGAGATCTGAGGACCTGACTGGTTTTGAGATCCCTGGGGCACAGGAGATCAAACAGAAAAAGTGTTTTATGTGTTTTGTTGGTCTAACAGATTTAACTACAGATCCTCAGATTCTGTGAAAATATCCACCATTGTACATTATTAAGATGGTGAACTTGGAACTTCTCCTGCTGTTTTAGCCAGAGAATAAAAATATAGGACAGATTCGGGCCATTTTTGGTGAGATAAGCACCAATTCTTATTTTGCAATCTTTTTCAGCTCCAAGACACCTTCTGTCTTGATATTTGATGTTCTATTTTCTTCATCTCTATTTTGTTAAGTTCTAAGGTAAAAAATTCTGTCCTGTTGAAGTCAGATTTTGGCCATGCTCTTCAGTGGGATCAAGTTTCCATCCTGCGTGTGACACTTAACTCATTTTTTAATTTGTGCTGTCTTCCTTCTGCACGGGGCTGCTGAGACAACCTCAATCAAGATCATTGTGAAGGGTGTGGAAGAGGGAATGGGAATGTGGTGTTTATAAAACCTGAGTTTGATTAGGCACTGCTACACCCCAGCTTCATTAGCTCCCTTCTCCTCCTGTACTGTTCAAATTCTCCCCATGTGGGACTCTGGTTTAGAAGTTTATGTGACTTTCCACTCCTCATTCCCTCTGCCCCTGCTCCTGTTTTCTCCCTCTCCCTGTTTGCCAGCTACTCTGCTTAGGACAGCTAATTCTTCAGGAGGGCCTGTTTCCTCAGGAATGTGGAGCAGCAAAGTCCTGGGCTAATTCACCAGTGCCACAACCAGCAGTAACATCTGGATGCAAAATGTGTCGATGGGGAAAGATCCTGCAAGAGGGATTAGAGAACAGATCGAGGGTGGGAAAGCCCCAAATAACTCAGTCATGTTCTAAAATAGTCCCTGTTTAAATAAACAGGGTTTATAGGAAGATACAGTAGAACATTAATCTAATTAATGCATTTGCTTTATTATGGTAAAATAATATTATTTTATATATTTGCTATACTGAACTACTTCAGAATGTGACACAGATGTTCAAATAAAAAAAAAAACCCTCTTCTTTTTTATTTGCCTTTATGTAAAAATGGCAGGAGTCACCTCTAAGTCTCCCAAAATGAATCACTGACTGTGACAAATAGAAATTAGAATATGTTTTCTATGAAAGAAAACAAAGATTGCAAAGGTATAGTTAGGTCCATTTCCTTTCCAAAAAGTAGCATTCTAAGGAGAAAAAAAATGGCTAATCTTTAGAAAGTGCTGATTTTCTTTTTTTTTTAAAGGCATTTAATTAAAAGGTAACCTTATAAAACTTTGTGACTTTTCCTTTGTTGAAAACACTACATTTAAAACTGATAAGGGGCAGTGCCAGACCCAGCTGGGTAAAGTTCCCAAAGACATTGGCCCATCAGTGTTTATCCTGCTCTGAGTTGTACTTCTGGAACCAGCTCAGGAGTAGTTTAAAGCTATTTAATGGGATGCCACCTGCTGCAGTGCAACCTTATAAATATATCCTTTGGAGAGGGCTGGGATGGCTCTGGGTCCTGAGCAGCTGCAGAAAGGAAAAGGAGTTGATTTGTTGCTCCATGGGCTGATATGGATTAGGTGGAGCTGATGTCCTATCCCTCAGCCCATGGTATTTACAGTGAGGAAACCTCAGGTGTGAGGAGGGTTCTGCTGTCACAGGGGGTGTTCTGGTGTGTGGCAGGAGGAATTAGAAAACACAGAATTTGGGTAAGTGAAAAAATAGGAGATCAAACCTGCAGCTCATCCATGTTGCTGTCTTTTGCTTTGGAAAAATTTATCTGTGCTCGAAACATGGTAAAACCGAAAGCTGGTGAGAAATATCTAATATTGCACATAAAGGTGTTCTAACTAACTTGGAACAAAAAAAAATCAAAAACAAAGCAAGAAATTGGCAAAAAAGTTACCATTTCAGATTTTAGCAGATAGGATTGATCCCTCATCTTTAGTCTTTCCACTGACTTGGAGTGGTGGTCAGTCAATCACACATGTTCTGAGAGCAGAGGTGCTGATGTTGTGCTTTGGGCTCCATGTGGAGGAACCTGAGGGATGATGTAACCCTGATCTGGATGCCTCAGAGGAAAGAAAGATCTTGTTACCCCAGAGATGCTGTGGGTGCTTTGTGTGCCCCTTAAACCTCCTCATGAATGAACACACAAAAGTTCCCCTTTTTTTACAGGCTGAACCCCCTGTAATGTTGCTCCTTCCCAATTGCTCCTGCACACTGAAAGAAATTTGTTTCAAAAGGCCCTGTGTATGTGTACAGAACTGATCTCATCATTTTAAGTGTGCAGCAATGTTGGGTATCGTGGCTCGTGGCACTGAACAATGAAATCTGCCCGATGCAGTGATACCAAATGTGCTTCAGAGGATGAGTGTCAGTCACACGGGTGTGTGGTGGAGCTCTTCAATCAGCTGTGACTTATTTCAAGGCACTATTTCCTGTCAGAATCCCCCCAACTAAAAAAATATAAAAAGAAAAGCCAAGCATCAACCTCGCATTTCAAATATGAACTGGAAACAAACCCAATTTACAATTCAGGAGATGAAAATTGTTCTCTTCTGCCATAATTGAATTCACGTTTGGTTTATTTGAGAATTCATGTGTTATAACCCTGCTTGCTCACACTTCTGAGCGTCTTGGTTTGTTGCAGCTACTAAGGCTGAATTTTTTTCTTTTTTTATTATTTTCATTTCTTCTGGGTTTACATTGCAAGAGGAGGCCTCCCCCTCCCGACAGGACCTTCCACCTGAGGGCAGCACAGTCATCAGCTCCGACTAACTTAGAGTCAATCTTTGTGTCCAAATCCAGCTTCCTCGCAGCTCCAGCTCAGGTTTTGTTTTAATCCCCCCTTATATTGTTTGCAATAATGAGAGATATGATCACTCTAACTTTTCAAACCTTTCAACTTCCCTTTACTGGGAACTGCATCCCTTGCTTGGCGTCACAACACAGAGAAATTGCCTCTGTTATTCCCTTTGCCATTAAAGCGTGCGACATCTTTCTTTGTCTTACCTTGATGTGTTAATGTAGGAGTAGCAACTGCAGGACGAGGTGCCAGGAGGGTCTGGATATCGATACTGAAACACATCCTTTTAGTTCCGTGCCACGCGAAATGCCGCCGAACCTTTTCTCCTACCGTTCTGAGATTTGTTCTCTCAAATGGGATGCTGACAGTGCAAGAGGTAACACCTTTCAGCAGGTAAAATATGTTGTTAGGGAAGGGATGTATGGCAGGGATGCTGACAACAATTAGCACATGCTCCTCATTAACAAGCGGAGTTTACAGCAGAGCGGGAATGGCAGGCTGCCATCAGCCTGGTAGTTACGGGGCAGTTTAATCTCTAACGAATGTGAGCACTGGATTAGGAACAATATTCAACAAAATGCTGCCTGCATTCTCTTATGGCTTTCATTACCAAATTGAAAATCTGTGTAGATTTCTGAAAATTACTTTTAAATGTAGCCAATCTCCTCGACTGCAAGGCTTGATTTGCTGGTGAGGGAGTCCTGCTGTGAGATTTTAATGAAAGATCATAGTGCCCCTCCAAGACCGTCAAAGAGCTATGGGCCCTAAAAGACCTGAAATAATCTGTTTTACTTTTAATGGCAGCCATTTTATATTCATTAAGATCAAAATGCAGTTTTGCAGGCAAATTGCAAAGCTGTTCCACTCACAGCTTGAGAACCTGGAGGCCCTACAGCTTTTTATCTTGTTCATAAGCAAATATGCAGTTAATATCTTTTAATATGCTTTGATGCTTGGTACCTTATGGGTACATTGTACTGGAGGTTAGAGAACTGCATGTTTCTTTGGCAGTGCTAGCAACGAACTAAAGCACCAGTCCTTTTATTTCCATAATGGCAGAAGAAATGAGTCTCTTTTTTTTCCCTTTTTTTCCTTTTTTTCTTTTTTTTTTTTTTTTTAATATGAGCTCCGCTCAAATAAATTGTAAAGCACCGTGTAGTATATGTTCAGGGTCTCATGGAAGGCACATTTTTTTTTTCCCTGCATTCCATCTGTTGGTGGTTCTTATTATTTAAATTTATACGGCCACATTATTTAAATGTAAACAGCCAAATAAGATAGGATCAAATCATTGGCATCTGGGAACTGTGCTCTTATCCTCTTTGATTGTGAGGTTGTGTGCATTAATAATGGAGTTCTAAAGACTGTGATTCCACCTGATATACTGTATGACCTTAACAGTTGTGATTTTATCAGGGTTTCACTGTATGAGAAAATGAAGGTATTTTGCAGCTCATTTCTGGCAAGGTTAGTTTGCATTATCTCGTGTCCGGAGTAGTTCTGATTTGTGCGTGTGTATTTTAAACCTAATTTTTTGTTCTTGATTGCCGTGCTCCTGGTCGTGGTGCAATCCACATCGCCTCAGATTGTTTTCAGGGAGCAAACTCAGCTTGGGCGCTTTTCCTGCCTTGGTTTCATGGTGTGGTGCCACCGTGGGTCCTGCAGAACTTGTCACTGCCCAGCTCAGCGAGCACCTGCCACATCCCAAGGCTGCCAAGAACCGGGCAGTGGGGAAGGTGCTTTGGTAAACATCCTTTCCTAAGGATGGAAACACACAGAAGTTTGCAATAAGCATTTTCTAAATCTTCCAGCCACGGTAGAACTGAGCTTTTCCTCTCTCTTTTCTGTTGTTATCCAGTAGAAGGTGCAAGAGTGTCATGCCCCGTTTTCCTCTCCCAGCCTAGAAGATCCACCAAAGATCACAGAAAATTGTCAAGGCCGCTTCATTTAAGAAAGTGACATCAGTCTCTTTTATGGAGCCAATTCCAGTTGTGCTGTGTAAACCAAACACAAACCCAAAAAATGCATTAGAGCTGGATCTCAGTCCCCACACCCTCTGGCTTGTGCGCCTGTCTGTGCCCCACGGGCCTGTTACAATATTGGATGACATGTTTACAAGTTCTAACATCTTACTTGGTGCAACTGCAGAGCTTCCTCGCCTGGCCGAGGAGTTCAGCTCTGTGTGTCTGGCAGAGATGGGGGAATTCGATAACCTTCCCTCTTTGGGTCTTAGGGCGAGCTGAATGCGTCTGGCCTGCCAAGGCACAATTTAATGGGCTTCTGAAAACACTCAAAAGGCAGACAGAAATGTGTGGATGGGCAGGCAGCCAGGCTGACCTGGGGGATGGGGCCGGCCTGATTTTAAGCAGGGTAAGGTCGTGAAGGAATGTTTGAGGACAAAGCTGGCTGGGGGAGTGCACTGAAAGCCTGATGTTTGACTGGAATGGATTTACAGAGCTTGAACCTGACTCTGTAACTTAAGAGCAAAAGCATTCCCACCTGTCCGGCTTTAAAGGGGAAATGGAAAATGTAAAGAATATATAATTAATTTCAATTACAAGCTTCACATATCTTTTGCTTGGATATAT